AAAACAACAGCTGAGTTAAGTTGATGAAAAAATTGCTCAAATGAAAGCCGAAGCTGAAGCGAAAGAAGCAAACAAAGAAGCGAGAGAAGCAGAGAGAGCAACAATAGAAGCAAAGAGAGAAGCAACATTTCAGAGAAAATATGAAGAGCTTCAAAAACAAATTGAAGCTATGAGGTAGATGATGCAACAGAAACAAACGAAGAATTCATCATCCTAGGTGTTTTCTTAGCTTAATGGTTACTTTATGTTATTGAAAAATGTTGAACTACATTATATTTAACTTCGATGTTTGTAAACTTTGATTTATTTATGTTTTTATGTATTATTACTTAATTCGAATCGTAATTAAATTTACTGCAAGTTGTTGGATATTGTTACAGGTTAAATTTGGGTAATACAAAATACGAATAAGATATGTTAAAATCAGTTTTACGGGCAAAACGCCACTAATGGAGTGCATATTAGGCGGCATTTTTAGGAATAAATGTCACTAAATGACCAACCTATTGCGGTGTTTCTGCCGGACACGCCGCTACATATCAAATCAATTGCGGCGTTTGTGACTACAAACGCCGCTACATATCAAATCTATTGCGATGTTTGTGACTACAAACGCCGCTAAATATCGGATCTATTTCAAGAAAACGCCTATAAATATCAAACCTATTGCGGCGTTTGTGCCAAAAAATGCCGCTATATGGCTGACATATTGCGGCGTTGTATACAAACGCCGCTAAATAACATGACCTTTAGCGGCGTTTATTAGTAGAAAACGCCACTAAAAGTTGATGCATTTGTAATAGCGATGTTTTTTGGCGCTTTTTTTTGCGCCAGTAGCATTTCTAGCGGCGCTTTTAAACACCGCTATAGGACAAAAAAACGTTGCTATAGACCAGTTCTACTGTAGTGGTTTTTTTAAATCAGTGAGAAAAAATGAACAAAACACAAATATAAGTGATCAATCATGTAGTTAACTGAATCCACGTGGAAATTATGTATTTTATATTTTATGTAATTACTGTGTCAACTCAACAAATCACTAATGGTCTAATGACAGTTAACATGTGGTGATCACATCTTAATTAAACAAAAACAAAAGTGATCATAATACAAAATCGATGAGAAAAAAATGAATAGAATACAAACATAAATGATCAATTATGTTGCTAACCCTTAAAAATATTTTTTTATTTCATGCTCTTTAATTAAAATAATTATCATTTTCTACATTAATGAATATATCATAGCTTTGTGTAACTATATAAAGGGGCGGCTATTGTTTCAACTATGTACATATGAAAAATAATATACTCCTCCCTATTCGATTCTCTCATTGCTTTTAATTTCCCCCATTTTCTTATTATTTTATTTGGTTTTTTTAATAACAATTATTTTATTTGGTTTTTTTAATAACAAATAATTATTTATTTGGAAAATTATCATTTTCCGCACCCTATAAATTGAAAAGTTTTATTGTGAGATCAAATGTAGAGTAAGTAGTGCACAATTTTGTTCATTGTGAAGTTATTTGTGTGATTTTTGTTATTATCATTTTATACTATACTATGAAAAATGGGAAGTGAATTTATATTTGTTATATAAAGATAGGGTGTACACAAAGAATAATGGTACGTACACTAAAAGTTACTGCAGTCGGTGAAACTGTTTTAACTTCAAAGTTAAAAAGAAAGTTACTGTACTAATTTACTGTCTATTTGTGAAAGGAGTTCAATTTCAGGGTACATACATTTTCTATACCATTACTCATGATAGCATGTATATGTTTATCTCTATATCTTTCAATATATGTATAGGATGCAGTGTGAGAAAGGTGGATTTCTCCGAGGGGAAGGGGGACCTGATCATCATCATTGAAATTAAGCAGAGGGGCATGCATGAATATTAATGCAAACTATCCCCCCCTTATTCATCATATAATTATACATCACTCCTACAATTATTTATTTCTAAAAGTTGAGACAAGAAAGGCAAGCATCGATCACTGATTTTTCTCTTTTTTCAGTCATCTAATCATACATCAAGGCAGTGATATTTGTACCCCAAACTGCAAATTTTTTTATTATAAATATATATATACACATCATCTCTAGGCCTGTGGTGAAACATATCACTTCTCCATAAAGGTTAAATTTGGCTGTGACTTCGATACTGCTGTTGCAACCTCATATTTATATATATATTAAAGCATCACTCATCAAAATTAAGTGCACGACATAAATAGACATAGATTAATTAAGGTAAAATCCTGAATAGAGAGAACAAGTAAAATAATATTATTCTAAATATATAATAATATGAAACGACAATTCAAGTACGACATACTAATAGGTTAATTCAGTTACCATGATAATAAAGAAACATAGTTGAAGAAGCACAATATATGTTTTAAGCTTAATTGAAAAAATAAGTACTTAAATTATATCTATTGTTTGTTACATGTGCTAAAGTTTTTTTAATCAAAGTATGTGTCTAACATTTTATCGGTTACCCTTTAAGGCGCGTAAAGTTCATTATGTTGACATTTTTAGGCCATCATGTTAACAAATCATTAACAAATATTAACAAATTGTCAACCAATAATTGCTTAACACATACAATTAATTTATGTTTGATATTAATTTTCTTAAAAAACACTAAATTTTATAATTTCTCAAAAAAATCTCCAAATTCATAGAATCTCTTAAACGGTGTTAGTGACTAAGTGTTGCGATTATTCTGTTACGGGAGAAGATGTATGACATCAAGGGGTCAATCGGTGGGAATGTGACAGAAGAAGGGTGATCGATGGTGGCTGATTTGATAGTGATAAATAAGATTTAGGGATTTAAGATTCAAGATTTAAGGATTTTGTGTAATTTATGAATTTTAAAGATTTAGAAAATTATTGTTAATTTATAGTCTTTAAATAAAATTAGAAGAAATTAAAAGAGACATGCTACGTGTTAAGTACTATTGAATAATCGATTATTTAACAATCGTTAACGGTCAAGCACCTTAAATGGTAATCAAATAAACAATATATACTTATCTCGACAAAGAAAACTTTGAACACCTAAAACAAATCAGACGTATAATTTTAGTATTTATTTTTCTAATTAAACTTTTATTTTAATAAAATATAAGTATCACATTAGACATTTTAAAAGTACATGTAGTATTAAAGTGCAAGTTCCAAATGTTATGTTATTTTTTAAAAAGAAAACAATTATTTATTACATATTTCATGTGAGAATTTAATGTTGAAAGATTATTTAATAATTCAGTAGTGATTCAATTAATAACTAATTGACTATAAATATATGGTTTGAACCTGACATAAATTGAGGGATCAATTCTCATTCTTTATTAAACTAAACATTAAGTTTCAAAATTTTCCCTATCATAATTTTGATTCAACAAAAATGAAAAAAAAATCATACCAATCATTAGATAAAATATAAGGAAGAAAAAGGCGAACTAATTAATGGAAAATGTTCACAAATTAACCACAATCACCCATCACATATAGGGATGTGTATGGGACCTGAACCCGACCCGATCAGGTTGGGTTTTTTATTTAAAAAATTTAGGTTCATGTCAGGTCGGTCTAGTTTTTTAAATGTGATGTCTGGGTTTGGTTTGGGTTTAGGGTGAAAAATATTAGACCCAACCCGAAAAATATATAATTTTACTTTATATATTTAGGAATAATTATAATAATACCCCTCTATATATTATTTTTTTCAATTAAGTCATTGTTTTTAATGAATAAAAATAATATTTTTTTATTATTTTGGGTCGGGTTGGGTTTTTAAGTTATATATCGAGTCGGGTGAAATATTGTTTTGGTCGGATCGGGTCGGATCTCAGTTGGAGGATTCACTGTTCTCGGGTCGGGTCGGATCGGTGTACCAAATATCCGACCCAACCCAACCCATGTCCATCCCTAATCACATATTTTAAACAAGGAATGAGGCTCCTATTCCCTTTTTATTAGATTCCATAATTTGGACCAAATGATGTGTCCTCTACACATTTTATATTAAAACAAGAACAAAACTATCAACAAACTACCTTGGCATTAAACAAAATCACCTTTACGTTTTTACTTGCAAAGTAAATTTTGACTAAAATCAACTATGTTAAATTGTTCAAACCTAGGAAGAAACTAAATGAATGTACATCATTTCAATGACAAAGTTCACCATTATGCATAAAAGAAAATATTTTTTTAAAAGTATAATGTGATTATAAGGTAGTATCTGTTACTTTTTTTTAATTATTAACACAGATACATATTCTGCGAAAGAAATTACTAAAAACCCAAATTCTCTATAAAAAAAACTATTTTACTTTATTACTGAAGATATTCAATAAGTTGAAAGGAAACAAAGTTTTTTATAATCTTTATTTATCATTATGATTTTATTATGATTTAATAATAATATTCTTGTAAGTTGAAAAAGCTAGCCAAAAGAAATACATTATAGGGCATGCAATGGAAGAAGAATGATGAAAATAGAGAATTGAAAGGGGTATTTGTCAAGTTCATGATAGAGTGCCCAATTGAGAAAGTTCATTGGATTCTCCACTAAATGATAAAACCCACACGGGTTTGTTCATTGGATTCTCTTAGCCATGTTGGGGTGAGCTCATACACTCAAAAGTTGCTGCCTAGCAGTCATGATAATCCCATTTTGGTAAATTTAAAAACGGGTAAAACTTAACTCATTAAACGATTTCAGTAGTAAAAAATATATTATTTTCTTTAGAAGTCTCTTGTTCAAATAACTACTTTTACAAGGTGCGAGTATATTGTCATGACCAATAATGATTCTGAATATATACTACTTTTTAACCAGTCTTATACTATTAAAAAAATGGGTAAAACATAAAAACTTCAAGGATTTGCACAATAGAGGAAGAAGCATCTATACTTTCACTTTCTAAAGTTGACTTAAACAAACAAAAACCACACTTACCTTCAAATGACACCCACCCTATTACAATATTGCACACTTCCAAAAGTCAGCAATACATCTGAAAAATATAAAAAAAAGAAGGAATTAAAGCTAAACTTAGTTGGAGAGGGAGCCCCAGCTAGATGTAGTGATTAGCATACCCTACAAACTTGAAAACCCAACAAAATTTGCCCCAAAAAACTAAGCAAAATAGCTACCAACTTTTCCTTCTCCAAATCACTCATAAAAGAAGTTCTTAAACTGTACTCGGTGAAATCAAACAAAAGAGACAACTAATAATCTTAAAACTAATGAAACGGTGTTTATATTTGTGGGCATCAGACTGAGATATCCCTATGTGCAAAGAAGAAGAAGAGCTCCAACTCCGGAGGAGCAAAGAAAGTAATAGGTGTTCTTTGCAATGAGCAATTGGAGAGAACCCTTTGTTTCTTGGGTGCCAGAGGGCATGTTTCCACCTCCGGTATCCGAAACCTCGGAGCTTTCGGGGTAGAGCAAGGACTTATATCATCATCAACTCCTTTGGTGGAAAGATTATCTGAGCTTATGGGGGAAGAATTGGAAGGCAAATCCTCCAACAACACTGATGTCGTTTGAATACTGGGCTTGTCAAGCTTCCTTCGGTGATGACTTCTTCGTGGCTTGCTCGCTTTTCTTGACGTTCTTCTGCCGGTGGGTGCCATTGAAAGACAGAATCAAGAGGAAACTTGTCAGTTAGAATACTAAACTTGGGAGAAAGAGAACAAGTACAATTGCAGGGTGAATGAAGAGATTCTTCATTCTGTCATCCCAGTACTTGTTAAACGGTTAAACATGGTGAGTACTTAAAAGCTAAGCTCTACTGAATTTGACCGAAAAGTAGTAAAGAGACAAAAAAGCTAAGCAAATAAGCTCAAACTTCTGAGAGATGAGTAAAATAAATCACAGGCCAAAAATGGATCATTTGAAGGCGATGGTGATTCAAAGAAAACCAAGCATCAGATTGAAGAAAAGGAAGGGGAATAGAGATGGACTTAGGGCTTTGTTGTAAAACACAAATGAAAATCAAATTGCAAGAGAGATCTTTCACAAGCTTACAAATGTTGGGTTTTAATATTTGAGTGGGAAAATTTTGGGCAGGGGTGACCGCTGCCCTAATATTATTATTTTTGAATAAATTATGTATTTAGTATCTAAACTATCAGTGTATTTTATGATTTAGTATTTAAACTTTCAATTTTTTAAAAATCATACCTGATGTTTAGTTTTTATTTCACTTTAATACATGTCTTTAAAAACTTAACATATTTAGTACCTAAATTATTTGTTTTGGTATGTTTTAGTACCTAAACTTTTAATTTTTTTTAAAACTTGACGTTAAATTTTGAACAATATACTAAAATGAAACAAAAACTAAAATTTTTAAAGGTATGGTACTAAAATGAAATAAAAACTAAACTTTAAATATGATTTTAAAAAAAAGGTTGAGGACTAAAAAGACCAAAACTGATATACTTGATACTCGATGTAGAATATCAAGGGCGAAAGTACATGACTTCGAGAACAATTACACATATATTATTTTAAGAAAAATGTTAAACATAATTTAGTTTGGTAATGAAAATGAAAAAAAAAATTGTATATACAAATTTATTTAGAACAAAGTATTAAAATTTTAGATCTTATCTTTTAATATATGGATCCATCACATTAAAAATTTATTATTTTAATTAATATTTTATTTAAAATAACACCAACTTTTTTTAAAAGGTTGAGGGTTAAATTTAATTAAAAAAAAGAATGATCAAAATAATAGAGGTAAACATTTTGAGCTAAATTTCTTGACCATTGAAGTTACTTGGTTCGTGCTTAGACTTGCAACCAAGTGATCACTTTGCTAGGACACAATCAATGACGACAAGATAAAAAGCCTAATGAAAGATGAAGCTTTCATCTTCCTAAATCAAGAAAACTACTAAAAAAATTTCAGCTCCAAAGAGAAACTGATATAACGGCTCCCCAGCGTCATCCTATCCTTGGCCATTGCGGATTTCGAATCTTCTGCATTTTCAAACTCCACAAATGCCTCTCCACTTGGCCTCCCCTCTGAATTCAACACTACTTGAATTGCATCTTCTGATAACACAAAATCTTTGAAGAAGTCTATTATATCATCTTTTCCAGCAGAAAATGGCAATCCCCTCAGTCTCAATATCCCCGTATGTTCAGCGGACTCCTTTGCTTCGTCGCTAGATTTGGCCCTTGGGGCATTTCTGCGAGGTGAACCACCACGAGCGTCAACCACTTCATTGGCTATTGCCTTGTAATATTCCTGTCTCTTGCTTCTGAAAACTCCTACATATCTCCTGCCCATGTTTCGCCTATTATTTTAAGGGCAAAATCAACCTGAAGAGGATAACCCAAAACACAAAAAGCATCACCATTGAACTTGCCATTTTTATGGACAAAAAGGACATCAACTATGTCCAGACCATGGAAAAACTCGGCCACGTCAACCTCTGTGCAACCGAAGGGAAGACCATGAAGTCGAACGACAGGGAAAGGTGGAGGTTGGCTAACATATGAGTAAGGAGGAGGGGCAGTGTACATAAAGCTTGAACCTGGTGAATTACCATAGAATGAAGGGCCTTGATCAATATATTTACTTTGGTTTCCAAAGATCATGAAGGCAACAGAGAAGACCAGTCAATACTTCAATAAATATTGATATATATTCTTTAACACTGGTAATTAAAACTCTATAAAATAGCAATGCAAGGATGGATACTTGTATTTCCAGTGCTTCAAAGAAAAATGAAGAAAAATGAAAAATCAATTATATGGCATTAATTTTATGTAAATTCACAACTCACCACGAATAAAATGATTCATCAATTTGATTATATCGCCTTTTCTGTTTATTACATTTCATTCAAAAGACTAATCACTTGTTATATATTTGAGCAATTACCAACCAAAATCACTCATTAAAGAGTTGACTACTAAAGGTGTATAAAACCCCCATATACTTGAAATCTCCCTCTTAGTCTCAAGGGGCCTAGGATCAAATCATGCTTAGAACAAAATATCGAAGAATTACAGAAATGCAGGGGAATAATATCGCAAGATATGGGGTGGTCGAGTGTGGACTTAAGGGCATGTGTCCACATTAGCTCAGAGTGTTGACAAGGGCACTTGGATGGGAGAGTTCTCAAACCTAGGAGATTTGTTGAGATTCAAACATGAGCATGATATCTTAGATTAAAGGTGGCATACATTTATACACACGAAAAACCTGTTAGCTAAAGTTTAAAAATGGTATCCAACATGTATCATGGAACCTTGGGTAAGCTTCATATGCACTCGAGGGTGGCTTACCTTCCAAACATTGAGAGTATCCAGAAAAACATCACCATACTCAAAAACACTAAAAGTACAAATGCAAACCTACAAAACCATTATCCCATTCAAGCTCAAGTCTATCAATTTTTTCATTATTTGCTTCTCATTCTTTCATCATGACTAAAATTGAGCTAAGCCATAAAAGACAATCCAAAAAAAAAAAATCCAAAAAAATAAATAAAACTCAACTGTAAAAGTTCATCAATCCAGACTCAAAAAAAATCAGAGAACAGACTTGAAAAACAAAACCCAGAAAATAAAAGGGTTAACTACACGGTTGATCACTTATCTTTCAGTTTTGTCCACTTTTGGTCACTGATTTCAAAATACATAAGATATGGTCACTTACGTTTTCTATTTAAACAAGATTTGGTACTTTTGTTTTTATTTAATTAAGATGTGGTCACCCCGCCGAGTTAATTGCCGTTAACAGCAATTAAATATTTTTGATATAATCACACATTTGGTCTTGTATTACATGTTCTTTCAATTTAGTCATACTTTTAATAAATTAAAATAAATTTAATCATCCAATCGAACGATGCCACATGTTATGCCAGTAAGGTTGTTCAAAAGTACCGACCCGCTGACCCAGTCAAAAAATATCGGGTATTTATAATAAAAATACTCGATTTTTCGGATCGGGTACCCGACCAGGTTTCATAGTTGAGCATGGGTCACAAATTGTTGGTTAACCGAGTACCCTCTGACCAGATACCCGATTTATTATATATTTTCATTTTTATTCATAATCCTCAAATTATTTCAATCTAACGTTCTAAAATCTTAATTTCTTAAAATTTGACACAATAATGTTCTAAATTATTTTTTAAAATTTTTATTTTAACTTCAAAACATTTGAAATTTAATTATATTTCTTTATTTTAAATTTTAATAATTTTATTTCAATTATGTAATTTGAATTTTTTTAACTTTATGTGTGTATTATATATATTATAGACTTTTAAATTTTAAATTTTAGAAATTTATATATATATAATATAATTATATATATTAACTTAAAATATTTTTATATTAACTTATTAAATATATTTTATATTTAACTTAATTTAAAAATATTTTATTTTTTATTTTCATTTAAAAATATATAATTTATTTTAATTTATTAAAAGTATGACTAAATTGAGAGAATATGTAAATAACAATAACCAAATGTGTGAATATATCAAAATATTTACTGCTATTAACGGTTGTTAGCTCCGGATGACCAAACCATGTTTAAATAAAAACATAAGTTATCATATCTATGAATTTTGAAATCAATGACTAAAAATGTACAAAACTAAAAGATAAGTGACTAACCATGTAGTTAACTCAATATAAAATCACATATATGAATCAAACAAGAAACAAAAAAGGAAGAATAGCAAGTGAATTTTACCCCCTGTAGAACATGTTGAATTTTACCCCTCCCCTATAAAGGAAAAGTGAGAAAAAAAATGAAGGAAGAAGAGTGATGATGTTGGGTCAGCGATTTATCCAATAATAAGAAACAAGAATATGGTGGGAATGGAAATCGCAAAAGATGAGGCGATTCAAAAGAAGGAAACCCAGATTTCAAATTTCCTTTCTTTTTATGCGATATTTGTCTGTGTTATTAGGGAAGGGAAAGGAGACGACTAAACGAGAGAATCGTTCTGGATTTATTATGATTTCGGCTAAAGCGAAGTTGGCCGACTCATATGGGCTTCATACTAAATTCAACTTCCATTAACAACCTACCTCAATGAGCTACAAGATTACATCAACATTTCAAACTTTATATAATATATCTTATTTTAAACATATTTATAACAAAATATGTTAAGAATCCAATTCATGTGTAGCACCAGACAAAACAAATCAAGAAATTGAGGCAACTACACCAAGATTCAATACCAGTTTGGGAAAAGAACTGGTTTCTGAGGTTGATTGTTGAACATGCAGAATAGTTGGCAAATTGCAGTTTGCAAGTTACAACCATGATGGAACTTTTGCGGAATTGATGTGTTAAGCTCATATAACCGCATCATCAATTTCAACTATGGGGACAAAAGCAACTTTGGGCCAATCTTCCCCTTTGTTTTTCAGCAACCTTGCCTTCAACAAAGGACAGTCCTTAATTGTTAAAACAGAGAGGGCTTCTGGGAGCTCAGGACCGGACATAGATTGAAGGTTCGGGCATCTTCGAATTTTGAGAGTTTTAAGGGAGCTGAGATGTTGGAGTGCTTTGTTGTTGAGTGATCTAAAGTTGGGAGTTTCAGCAATGTAAAGAAATGTTAGTGTTGAAGGCAGAAAACCTTCACCTGGAAAAGAATCAACACCTTCACATTTTCCCCTGATGCTAAAGTATTTAAGGGAGCCAAGCCTCCGCAAATCCCAGTGCTTGAAGCTTGCAGTAAACTTTTCACAAAACGAGACAGAGAATGAGTTCAAATTCGAAGGCAACCCACCTTCAGGAAATAACTCAAGTTCTGGACAGTTGCGTATCTTCAACGAGTTCAGCGACGGAAGAAGGGAGTGCATATTTTCAGGCAGTGATTTTAGTTCCATACTGTCGGAAACTTCGAGGACTGTGAGATTAGGAGCATGCAATCCACCAACTGGAAATGACTCAAATTTTGGGCATAAACTGATTCTGAGGGAGTTGAGAGATGGAAGAACCTGATAATGGCCCTCTGAAACTGAAAGAGAATTTAAATTACATCCTCTTATTCGGAGATGATTAAGTTTGGGGAATGATTGTAGCTGAAAGGACTTTAGAGAAAAGCAGCTAAAGGACATCCACAATGTTTGCAGGGAAGCATAACTTGACCACATAGGCAATTCTAGTCTCTTGCACCTCATGATATCAAGTCTTCTCAAAGTGGACAGCATAACATCTTGAAGCGACGAAAGAGATGGGCAATCACAGATTGTCAGCACTTGTAAACAAAGGGAATGCATTATCCCTGTAGGTAGAGATTCAAGCGTGGAGAATCCTCTGACTGTAAACTTGTGCAGTCCAGGCAGAATATGCTTCAAAAACACCTTATCTGAATAGCCTAAGTGCAATTCGTAGATGGTTGGAGTCTGCGGAAGTGAAACCATGAGTTGCTGACAATCAATGATCATTAATTTTCTCAATGAAGGAAGGTAGTCCGGAAGAGCCCCACTTAACTTGGGACATTTCTGTATATGAAGCTCTTGAAGACATGGAAAATGTCCTTCAGCGTCTTTTTCAAAGAAAAGCCATTCCTTCCACTCCGACATCCTCTCAAACCATAAAATTTCAAGCCGCCTAAAGGGCTTGACCGTAGATAATCCGTTTCTGTAGAACTCAACTCCGACCCTCTCAACAGCATCAAATCCAATGATAAAGAGCTCTTTGAGGGATAGTAGTTGCCCAAGTGGTGGCAAGAAGAAACAGTATTTACAATGGCTAAGCTGCAAAGATGATATGTTTGAGAATGAGCAATCCCCTAACCAATCAGGAAATTTTGTGCCACCATAAGATTCAATGGATAGCTTTTCCAAGTTTGTATGAGGCTGAAGCATGCTCAGTACATCTCTTTCAGTAGATGTATCAAGAGTATGACCACTCCATTTCAATATCAACTCGGTGAGGTACTCTTTGTCTTTAAATTTTGCCTCCAAAGCTTCTCTAGGATCGACAACATTTTGAAGATTGAAAATAGCTAGACTGCCTCTAAGTTGCCGAAGCTCCCAAGTTCTGAAAGGCTAGATCCACTATGGTCCCCCAAAATAAAAGCAGTTAGTGTTTGTAGATTTGCCAATTTGCTCATTTGTAGTGGCATCTCTTTGAGGCTCCGTGTCCTGCTAATATCAAGGCGACGCAAGTTGACAAGTTTTCCCATATGGTTCGGCAACTGAATGAGTGAACCACAATCTGCTAATAATAGTATCAGCAAATTATACAAAGCACAAACAGATTCCGGTAGTCTCTCAATTGCAGTGTATGACAGATCCAAATAGCGGAGAAGTTGCAAGTCTCCTATTGAATCAGGCAACTCCGTTACATTCTCATACTTCGACAAAGATAAAGCTCGTAAACATTTTAATGTTGGCAATAAATCATGATACACTGGATAAGGTAGTATTTCAAACCAATTAAAGGGGTTTAGAGGTAGGAAGGTGCGCAGACACTTGGTTTCATGAAAGGCATTGAACTTTTGAGAATCATCATAACTAGTTCTGGCATATGAAAAATGACGAACCGTCTTTTGGATTTTATTAGAATCATTAACTTCTAAACTCAAGCAGAACCCTTGGGACACAAATTTGGCTAAATCATGAATGAGATCATGCATGACGAAGAGCTTTTTATTGCCACTTGATTGTTGGAAAAATGATCTTGACCGTAGATTGTTGAAGTATTCAACCCCGACATCTTCTGGTCTCTTGTTTCGTGTTGGTTGTGGCAGCAATCCTTCGGCCATCCACAACAGGACCAGATTCTCAATCTCAAAATCATAATCCTTGGGGAATATAGCACAATATGCAAAGCATCTCTTTAGATATGAGGGCAGATAATGGTAGCTCAGTAGTAAAGCAGGAGCAATGTTGCCATCGTCATTTGATAAATCCCACATATTGCTCTCCAGCACATTACACCATTCATTGACATCCCTTTTGGATCGAAGGAGACCTCCGACTGTTTTGGCTGCTAAAGGTAGGCCATGGCACTTTTTCACAATTTCTTTACCAATCATTTCTAGGTTCACTACGTCCTCTCTGGAACTTTTATTACCAAATGCATGCTTGGAAAATAACAACCAACATTGTTCATCTTCTAGCTGCTTCAGATGATAAGAAGGGACGGTGCGCATAATCGAGGCAACACTTTCATTTCGTGTGGTGACAATGATCTTGCTCCCTTGAGCTCCATGAGTTAAAGGTTTCTTCAAGGCCTCCCAATGGACATAATTTTCATTCCAAACATCGTCCAACACTAGAAGAAACTTCTTATCCATCAAACAATCAGTCAGCTTAACTTGAAGCAAATTAAGTTCCCCAACATCACAACTCAAACCAGTTATGGCCTCGAGGATCGCTTTCGTCACTCGGAAAACATCAAAGTTTTCTGAAACACAAACCCATACTTTGAGGTCAAACTTAAACACTTCCTTCATTTTATTGTCATTGTAAACAATCTGGGTAAGTGTGGTCTTCCCAATCCCAGCCATACCAACTATAGCAACCACCCCAATCCCATCGGTACTCGAATCATCTGTGTGCAACAACTTCATTATAGCTTCTTTATCATCATCCCTCCCATATACATTCGACTCATCCACCAAGGAAGTGGCAGGTAATTTTCTCAAACACTTTTCCCCAAAACCTTCTCTCAAAGAAAGCACATCTTTTTGTCTTTCAAGATACTCAATCCTCTCGAGTATTTCTAGAAGCTTAGATTCAGTTCTCTTATGAAATGGGTTTAGTGAAGAGAAAAACTTGCGTACCTTGGTGGTGCTGGTTTGGGATTCAGCTTCAAGCTTGCATCGCAAAGCTTCGGTTGAAACTTCATCCATGAGGTCCTCGGCATCATAAACAGCATCTTTAAGTTCGTTAAGCCACTTCTTTACATTGTGGTTCACGATTTGCTTCCCCTCTGCATCGTCCAGCACGGCACTGATGGACAGCAAGGTGGATTCCAACTTTTGGAACAGTGGGCGGTTCAGTCGCTCTCCCCTGATGAAGTCTATGACTTCAGGAGACGCCATCCTATCGAACAGAACTTGAAGAAAAGCAGAAAGGAAAGCTCCACCCACCAATTCAGCAGCCATTCTATTCAAGAATCGTTCAGCTTAAATTTGTTTAAGTTGCAGAGAGGAAATCTGGAAATTTGTTCAGCTTATCACAACCCCTTCTTTTGGTTTATCTGGAAAGGCTTTTACGAAGGTCAACGTTTGCTAACCAGACTTCCATCATATGGTTTCTACTTTTAATTTTAGGATTTTAATCCTTTGTTTTTTCTTTCTTTCTAAATTTTAGTAAAGACTATCAGTTTCTCCCCTATCCACTTTTTCCAATTTTAATTTAGGTAAATTAGGCGTTTGGTTTCTAAATTATTAATTTTTGGTTTATTTCAATATTTAAACTATAGTTTTTTTCTAATTTTTCAGTTTAGTAGTTCGTTCGTTAAAAATTTAACAAAACTATATTTTTATAGGTAAAATACATCATTTATCACTCAACTATTTTCTCACTCTTATTTTGGTATTAAAAATTAAAATTTTTTAATTTAACTACTCAACTTTCAAATCTTTCCTATTTTAACCACTCTAATTTATTTCATTAAGCATGAGTCAAGTGACCTCCGTGGTAAAAGAATTGTTAATATTCCTTAAGGACCTAGGTTCGAGCACCATAGATGTCTGGGAAGGATCGAATAAAAAAGTGAAAGGAAAAGAGGAGAAAGATTAATATATAGAAGTCGTTAATCATTCTATAAGATAGTTAATTATTAAGAAAAGAGCTTAAATTTTCCTTTTTTGGGAAGGATCGAATAAAAAAGAGTTAATGTTTCATGTTAGTTTTTTTACGATTGTGATTGTAATAAGAATGAATTAAATTCCACTGATTAGATCGTAAGTTTAAAAAATTTAATGGTTAATATGCAAGTACTCTAAACGTTTGAGGATTATTTATGTAGTTTAACCTTAAATTTGCATGACATTCAACAGTTTCTTCTCCCATGCTCTTTTCATAAAACAATACGAATTAAGTGTGCTCCGAAAATTCAGGAATTCTTTATAGCAAACTAGGGTTTGATGAGTGGTTCTGACCAATCGGTGTTACTGTCGGCGGGTATATCGGTTGATCCCTAGCTGGAACGATCAGGCTCTTCAGCCGATCTGATGGTTTAGCCTGAAACGAAGAAGGGCCGCCTTACTGGTGGCACAAAGATGGATCCCCAAGTTCTTTTTAGCCCGATGGATGAAGATCTCAACATGTCTATTCCTACTTCTCATGTGAATACTGAGGGTGTTGAACGAGTGATGACGTATGTTGAAACTGTTGCTAATTCTGCTAGTGTAACCCATCCCCCTTTTCACGAGTTTGAAGATGATGATGTAATTGTATTCAAGAAGGGGATGTTGTGATGGATCGAAATGGTGCGTATCCAGTGATACAATTCTCTACCAGGGTACACGAACGATTGACCAAAACATGAAACAAACAGTGATCGTGCGTCTTCTTGGTAAATCTATATGCTATCATGCTCTATTGACTAAGGTTAATCAACTTTGGAACCCACAAGGTCAAATACAAGTAGTAGATTTAGATCATGATTATTATCTAGTTCAGTTTGGTCGTACGGATGATTATACCAAAGTCCTATCTGAGGGCCAGTGGATGATCTTCGGGAGTTATCTTACCGTTCAACCTTGGAGCCGCAATTTCTCAACAGCAAAAGAACACCCTTCTCATGTTATTATATGGGTTCGTCTTCAAGGTTTACCCTATTGGTACTACACAAAGTTCATGTTTCGATTCTTAACGGCTGAATTGTGGAGTGTCATTAAGATCGATTATAACACCAACATGGGTGAACTAGAGAAATTTGCACGATTAGCAGTAGTTGATGTGAACAAACCGCTATTACCATGTATTGATATCGATGGATTTGTCCAGAAAATTGAGTAGGAGGGGCTTCAGAATGTTTGCTTTCGGCGTGGAGTTTATGGATATATTCGGGACGTGTGTGAGAATATACCCATTGGAGATTCGGTGAGTGCTAGTACTCTTTTAAAAAATCAGACTGCTGAGGGTGGACAAATTGAGAAGAAAGGAGATGACCTTAATGGTCCCTAGATGTTAGCTCCGACCTGTAGGCGTCGTCTTCGTGTTAAACAAGGCACAGCTAATGCGAAAGTGGACACGGTCAAGGGTGATAATATTAACCCTAACAACACTGTCAGGTTTGCGGTTCTTGAAAGTTTGGATGTTTATTACTTGGAACAGGTTCCTAGCCTGGTGGTCGCTATTGAGGAAAACTCTAAACCCAGAAATAATACAACCTCGCATAGAAAGAAAGACGCTATGGAAGCCATTCCAATAGGGAATATAAATAACCAGAAGGATAGATTATCCAAGGTGAATACGGTGGGTGCGAGTACTTCTACAGGATCTCCTGAAGCCCAATCTTCTGCAGTCAAAGCTATCACTGACTCCAGTACTATTGGGCCCCCTACTCGCGTGGTAAAACCACATGTTGAAACTATGAGAGCAGACAAGAACGTTCGTGTTACTTTCTAGAGTCGAGTATTCGCTCTGGGCAGCATGGAGTTGTTTCTATCTTTGATCGGACTAAAGACAACCATAGTAATAGATGTAGTCTCGTTGTGGGAACGAAGAGTCTTCGAGTGAAACAACTCTATCCATATAAGACCCCTTCCCTCCCTGTACTAACTGATTGGATTCAGCCGGTTAATCCTAATAGAAATGCCACTGTGTAATTTCCTGATAAGATGAATGAATTTGTTCCAGCTTCGGGCAAGGAGAGCCAGGCTGATGTTGTTATGGAGAATGTTTCCTTGCTCTCGGACTCGGATCTTACAGGTGCTGAGGCACAATCCAATCAATGATTTTTAATGTTAAACTGCATCTTTTGAAATGGTCAAGGGGTTGCTAGCCCCACTTATTGACGCTATTTTCGCCAATTGATTCGGGATCACTATCCCTTAGTAATGGCGTTAATGAAGACTCGTATCAGTGGTGCAAGAGTGGACTATGTGATTACTATGATAGCATTTCCAAATTCCTTCCAGTTGAAGCTCAAGGTTTCAGTGGAGGTATTTGGTTTCTCTGGCGTAATGAGGTGCATGCTGATATTTTATCTGTTTCTAATCAATTTATTCACTGCTCTATTACTTCCTCAAGTTGGATTCGTCTCATTTTTTTTTATCACGGTTGTCTATGGTAACCCTCAACATATTTACAGGAAGCATCTTTGGTCTCAGTTAAATAAACTTAAACATGGTCCGCACACTCCCTGGATTCTTGGTGGGGGATTTCAATGCTATTATCAGTTGTGATGAGAGGAAATGAGGGGCTATGGGTCGTTCAGGCGTGAGTAGGGATTTTGTTGATCTGATTGATACTTGTGCTCTTTTGGATTTAGGGTTTCAGGATCCTCCGTTTACTTGGTCTCGGGGTTCCCTCTTCCATAGATTAGATCGTTGTCTCGTTAACTCCAGCTGGTTGACTACCTTCACTGATTCAACTAACTTTCATCTTGATTGCCTTGACTCGGACCACCGCCCATTCTTGCTCCATACTACCGTTGCACCCAGCCATAATGAGGCTATTCCATTTTGTTTTTTGTTTGCCTTGCAACACCATGGGGAATTCAAAACTTTGCTTAACGAATAGTGGCATGGAGAGCGAGACTTAGCTACAAATTTGGCAAATTTTCAGACTAAACTAGCCGACTGGAATGTTTCCAATTTTGGACTAATTGGTGAACGAAAGAAAAAATTAATGAACAGGCTAAGGCGGATAGACTCTGATCTTATCCATTGACCGACCGATGGATGATCTCTTGGAGTTAGAATAAAAGCTAAAACGAAAGTTAGAAGAACTTCTTGCACAAGAGGAGAGTCATTGAATGCAAAAATCTCGCTCAAATTGGTTGCTAAATGGAGATTGAAATACAAAATTTTATCATGCCTTTGCTAAATTTCAACGTCGAAGAAATACTATTATGATGTCAAAACATTTGGATGGTACCTGTTGTTCAGATCAACTGGAGTTGGGTAATATTGCGGTTGACTTTTTCAAAAAGCTTTTCACGAGTGATGAGGAATTTGGATACATTTGTAATATCCGTGGTCGTTTCCCTATTCTTTCAGATGACTATATTGCTATGCTTTTGGATCAAGTTTCTGATGAGGAGATTCGTCAAACTGTATTTAGTATGGACCCGACTAAATCTCCCAGCCTGTTCAGAATTGTTTTGCAACTCACTCAATGCCAGCTGATATGAACAAAACTATTCTTGCTCTATTTCCGAAGGTTAGTACCCCTAAGTATATTTCTCAATTCAGGCCAATAAGCCTTTGTATTGTCCCGTATAAAGTGGTCACTAAGGTGATTGTGAATCGGTTCAAACCCCTCCTCCCGAGGTTGATATCTGACAACCAAACTAGCTTTGTACCGGGGCGGAATATTGCCGATGACATCATAATTGCTCAATAGGTCATTCATTCGACGCGAAGAAAGGCATGAAAGGCTGGATGACAATTAAGATAGATCTGGAGAAGGCCTATGACCGTCTTGAGTGGTATTTCATTGACGATACTCTGTAGGATTTCGAATGCCCAAACGACCTCTAGAATCTCATCATGAATTGTGTCTCGATGGTCTCTACAAATATTCAATAGAATGGGGCTTTATTGGAGAAATTCTCTCCTTCCCGCGGTATTCGTCAAGACGATCCCCTCTTGCCGTACCTTTTTGTTTTATGTATGGAACGCTTGGCTCAGGCTATTTAGAAAGAAGTTTCGGATGGTAATTGGATCCCAATTACTCTTTCACGGGGAGGCCCTCCTTTGACTCGTCTATTTTTGGCTGATGATCTTGTCTTGCTTACCGAGGCTTCATTAGAACAACTGGATGTTATTCAGAGGGTCATCCATGATTTTTGTTATAGTTCAGGCCATCATTTGCTTCTTTAGTAATGTTGATCATCACCTTGCCGGAGATATTAGTTGTGGCTTTCAATTTATCAAAGTTGATGATTTGGGGCGTTACCTTGGTGTGTCTCTGCTACATAAGTGTGCTACCATTGACACATATCATTACATTGTTCAACGTGTCCGTGATTGTCTTGCTGGTTGGAAAGCAAAAACGTTTTCCTTAGCTGGTAGAGTAACTCTCGCCAAATCTGTGTTGAATACAATCCTCTCTTATGTAATACAAAACACACATCTTTCGAAAGGAATATGTGAGGAGATTGAGCGGCTCACAAGGAACTTTATTTGGGGTCATTCAGGAGAAAAGAGAGGGGCAAACTTGGTCTGTTGGGAGCAAGTTTGTCTACCTAAAAGCAAGGGCGGACTTGGCTTAGGGAGAATGGAGAATCAGAACGAGGTTTTTCTTGTGAAGCTTGGATTCCGTCTTCTCTCCAACAAAGACCATTTATGGGTCAAAGTGGTGCGAGCTAAGTATAAGGTGACGGATATGCTGCCATTTTCTTTATTCCGGAATGGTTGTTCACGATTTTGGAGAGGTTTGAATATGGTCCGGCCAGAAGTTCGTCAAGGAATAACTTGGACTCTCGGCTCGGGTTCACAAATTGAATTCTAGAGGGATGATTGGGTGGGTGATGTAGGACCATTAATAAATTACTATGTAGGAACCATTCTTGACCCTATGGTTTCTGTTCCGGTTTGTTCTATGGTTGGGAACGATGAGGATTGGAAATGGAACCAACTTAGGAACTCCCTCCTGGATTCTATTATTTTAGCTCTTGCAGCGGTTAAACCTCCATCCCCGTCTGGTGGAGAGGATTACCATGGCTGGAAGTGGGATAAAAAACGACGCTTCACCACGTCAAGTGCTTAAACTCGGAGGCTTGGTGATTTAGATGCGATGGACTCTGGCGTGTGGCGTAGTATCTCGAAGCATAGAGGCCTTTATCAGATTAAAATGCTATGCTGATTAATTTGTAAGAACAGGTTAATGGCCAATGAAGAACGTGTTCGGCGTCATATGACAAAATAATCCTGAGTGTGGCTTGTGTGGTGCTGCGATGGAATCAATCTCCCGAGATTGTGATGCTGCCATTTCCACTTGGTTAGCTCTTATTAGACCGGAGAGACCGAGAGAATTTCTGGCTATGGATTTGGCCGAATGGATCCGCTCCAACCTTTCGAATACATCTTATTTTCCGATCAATGGCTTTGAGTGGGATTTGTTATTCGGATCTTTACTTTGGTGCCTATGGACTCGGTGGAACAAACGAATCTTTGAGACGGATGCCATTTTTTGGGAAAGTATTCTTAGTTGTGGCCATCGGCTGTGCGTTGAAGCGAAACAAACGGCGTTGCTGCATATCTCAAGCGATCCGTTTGTTCACTGTGCAAATCGTGAACTTGTTTCCTGTAAACCCCATCCTACTTGCTTATGCAAAATAAATACTGATGGTGCTCATAACCAGTCCTCAGGTCTATCGACTTGCGGTGGGGTTATACACGATTCACATGGAAACTGGGTGACGGGGTTTACTAAGGCTCTGGGGTAGTGCTCGGTGCTTGATGCGAAATTATGGGGAATTTATTAGAGCTTAAGGATGGCGTGGGAGTTGGGGATTACTAATGTTATTGTGGAATCTGATTGCACAGAGGTGGTTCTGCTCTTGCAGCAAGGTGCTGCTCATACTTTGCGTGAAGGAAATAGCGTTACTGATGCGTTGGAGAGGATTGCTTGGGACCAACCGTGTAGAACGATTCGCTATATTCAGCCTCCTTTGGTTATTACCCCACTGCTGGGTATGGACTAGAATTCGATTAACACTGCTTAATCTTTGTTGATTCCCCCCCTGTATTCTTAAAAAAAACATACGAATTGGTGGATAATAATGATCGTCTTTTATTCATAATTTCAATTTTCAACGAAGCCTGTAATTATTTTGGTTGGAAAAATTCTATATTTAATCCCTTCATTATATTCGAGTTACACATTATTCCCTGTACTTTAATTTTGTTAAATTCCGAAAAAAAACATTATATTTATATAAAATTATAAAATTATTTTATAAATGAAAAAGAAATTAAAATCATAAAAACCTAAAGGAACCATATTGGTGTCTCTATTTTTGTTTGAACAACGAATTATTTATTTAAGTCTAGGACAGTAAACGAATCGAGTTGAGATGGAGTTTACTTAGTTCGACTCGACTCGAAAACTCTAAAATAAAACTTGATTCGGCTCAAAAAATCGTGATATTTAAATTTTCAAGTTCGACTCGAACTCAAAACCATGAATTGAAGCTCATAAAAACTCAAAATAAAAAAATCTTAAACTTAATTCGATTGAAGCTCAAACTTAAACTCGAACATGAACCTTAAATACATGAAAACTTTATACTTTAATTTAAAAAAAAATCAACAACACATAAATGTTAATATTATTAATAATTTATTTTAAAATAAATAAAATCTTAATATATATTATATTTCTGAGTTGCTCGTGAGTTTTTCGAGTCAAGTATCAAATAGTTTGTTTTGACTTGTTAAGAACTCAAGTCGAGCTCGAGTTCAGATCGAATCCATTCCAGTCAAATATTTATCAAGCTTTAATCAAATCGATCTCGAATAACTCACGATCTGTCTCGTCTCGTTTATAACTCTATTTAGGTGTAATTCTAGATATTCTCATCGAATTGCATAAATAATTTTCAGGATTTTAGCGTTAAGCTATGATGTTATAATCAATGCTACAATGTTCTTTATATAAACATTAATACATATCGGCCAAATAATACTGAATCTGCTTCTTTTATTGATTTTATCCCTTATTGAATCAAAATAATATAGAATTTATTGAAGAGAAAATAATCTCAGTGACAAAAAATCTCATATAATATATAATTTTAACCAATTTTTTCCGGATTTGCCAAAATGACCAATAAAATCGCAATGCGATCGCTAATTCGCAACGCGATCTCCATTATCGCAAATCAGTTTCCAGATTCGCAACGCGATTATGACTATCGCAATGCGATTTTCTAATTTCGCGTTGCGATTTTCCCAATTCGCAATGCGAATAAGTAAATCGCAACGCGAATTGGGAAAATCGCAATGCGATACTGACTATCGCAACGCGATAATACAAAATCGCAACGCGATATTGACTTTCGCAACGAGATAATACATAATCGCAATGCGATTTTCAAAGCGCTATTAGTGTCGCAACGCGTATTTTATTTTCAAATTCCAAACACGAATATTAATATATTGAAACACTGAACAATCCACAGAATATCCCGTAATCGCAACTCATAACCTAAAATCACAACTCAGTCCCATCTCCATCTCTCACTCTCTACGGCAACATCCGTCCCCATCTCCGACGAAATCCGTCCCCATCTCCGGCGAAATTCGTCTATCTCCTTCTCTCAGAGCCACCCTCACAATCAGAAATGGAAAATCAACCAAATCAACCACCGAGGGTTAGTTTTTTTAATTATTTTCATTTTGAAATTTTTGCATTTTTATTAGGTTTTTCATATTGAAATTGATGATAAGTTTATTGGTAATTTCAATAATAGATTAACCATTTCACTTAGATTGCTTATTAAATCAACCGAGAATCGCAACGCGAAATGAAAATCGCAACGACAAAATCGCAACGCGATTTTAGTTTCGCGTTGCGATTCTCTCGTTGCGATAGTCAAATTCGCGTTGCGATAGTCATTTTCGTGTTGTGATTTTCATTTTCAGAAATTATTCTTCTTCTGCAAATTGAAACTTGAATGAATTGCATTACTTCAACCAAAAAACAAAGACAAATACGAAATTCACAGTGTTGCAAATTTAAGTTTGAAGGATAAACTACTACTCTTTATGTTTATTATTGTTTTTGGTATATCTTTACAGTGTAGTTTTTGGTATATCTAACTTAGTATGTTTATTGTTTTTGTAGAACTTTTATTCGGCTCAATTGACCTTAAGAAATAAAGTAAGCCTGGCCAAAACAATTGCGTCGAAGCTTTCACCTGCACAAAGAAAAATGTTTGAGGATACTTGCTTCGGGCCATGGCTGAAAGTACAACATCCCGGTGGAGATGCGATGTTGACACACCTATTTCTTCAAACCATGACTAGCGATCTACCAGATACTATACAACGTCGTGATGAAGAGATATGGTTTGATTTTCCACCGGCGTATACGTGTTTTGGGCGGGAGGAGTTTTGTTTAATCACCGGTCTACGCTTCAGACACGATGATGTAGGTCGGTACACTAGACATATTACCCGCCCATCATGGCTATCCCGGGTTTTTCCTGAGCTGGAGAGGCCGAATCTACACGTGGAAGACTTGACGAGATTATTGAATAAGAAAGATGGTTTTACTCGGATGAATGACGTCGATGTTGTCCGAGTATGCCTTCTAATACTTTTGCATGCCAACTTTTTAGGCAGAGAGGCCAGACAACCTATTTCGAATGATCTAATCAAATTGGTAGAAGACCTAAATGCGTGGAACCTGTTTCCGTGGGGTTCGTATTTATGGAAAGCTACATGGAATAAGTTATCGTATGTCTTGGATGATCGAAAAAGTTTGCATGGCGATGGTTCCAAATACACTTTGACAGGCTTTATTTGGGCCTTTAAGGTAAGAATTTTTATATAATGTTTCCAAAATTATAATTAATTATTTAACAATTACTAATGTTTGTTATTATATTGTTTGTAGATTTGGATATTTGAGGCCTTTCTCGCCATGCAGACATATGCAATAAAAACTTCAAATGATATTCCCAGGATTATTTCCTGGAAGAGGAAATGAACCTTGCAATGAGAAGATTTACTACGGTATACGACAATAAATAATGTAAGTTAACATAAATACTATCATATGTTTATAAACAAGTTATTACTAGTACACGTTTAACTTTGTTTGAGCTTTTATATTGTTAGGAGGCCAACACTCCACTACAGAGGCTGACACCCACGGAAGCTGAGCTTGCCACTGATTGGTGGCAAGCTAGTAAGCGTTTTTTTGATGGAACGGATGATGAGCAGCCTCCACTTCGGGAGCCATCACCTCACCCAGAGCCATCACCTGATTGACCCGACTATACACCTCCACAACGACAGCCATCACCTATTCTGTCACATCATCGAGCCTCTTCTCCACCATCACCTCAAGATAGGCGACCGGCAAAGATGCCACGACGTTTATATCCCTGTTCTCCACCTCCACCTCCACGGGATGAGTTAGGGGAGTTACGTGATGAGGTCAATGCCTTGCGTGAGGAGGTCGGTACTTTACGCAAAGACGATGGTGCATGGCGTGTTGAGGTGTCTACTTTACGTGGTGAGGTAGCCGCTCTACGTGAGATGATAGCATTGTTGCAGAATGAGGTTCATACTCTACGCAACGAGGTAAGTTTAAGAATTTTCATATTTAACTTGATGATAAATTTACTCGTAATTTTACTTATATTAACCATTTCACTTAGATTGCTTAGTAAATTCATTCGGTTGCTGCCAATACTGCTAAACTGTTTATTCTTTAACCCTGTGAAGTTAGTATTTGTTTTTGGTTTTGTCTTTTGGTTGAAGTAATGCAATCCATTCAAGTTTCAATTTGCAGAAGAAGAATAGTTTACTTTCGCAACACGAAACTTAAAATCGTAACGCGAAAATGACTATCGCAACGCGGAAATGGCTATCGCAATGCGAAATGAAAATCGCAACGACAAAATCGCAATGCGAAATGAAAATCGCAACGAGAAAATGAAAATCGCAATGCGATTTGTGTTTTGCGTTGCGATTTTGTCGTTGTGATTTTCATTTCGCATTGCGATTTTGTCGTTGCGATTTTCATTTCGCATTGTGATAGCCATTTTCGCGTTGCGATAGTCATTTTCGCGTTGCGATTTTAAGTTTCGTGTTGCGAAAGTAAACTATTCTTCTTCTGGAATGTTTATATATGTTGTCCTTTTAAATGTTTATATAAGTGCTTACTTCTGGAATGTTATCTGATGCATTTTGTGAACTATGATAGAATAATGACTTGGGTGAATACAATGCAAGTTTGAAACATATTTGTCTTTGTTTAATATAATGTTTGTTTATTTACTGATTTATGTATTAATTTTTTTAGCGGCCCAATAAGGTGGATGCTTTACGTCGGGTTTTTCTTGCACGACGGAGTTCACGCATCAGACAGCGTGCACGTGCTATTACGTCTCCGTTCACCCCAATGGTGCGAAGACTCCGCAAGAAGAAGCCCGACTCACTTGTCATCCCTCAAGAGTCCCCTCCAATCGTTCAAGAGGCCCCTATCATCCCTCAAGAGTCCCCCCCCCACCGTTCAAGAGGCCACTGTCATCGTTGAAGAGGTCCCTCCCACCATTCCAGAGCCCGATTCACATGGGGTAATATATCGAATTATTGAGAAACCCCCACCGTTGCCGGACATGATGGATGAGAGTTGGCTCTCGTATGAGTTACCGGCTAATACCCTTCCGGTATCTGAAGTGGAGAGGAGACAACTACCGGAAACAATTCT